GTAACTCGTGAATCGCGAGACGTCGTCTGGAGTACATCTACCCTAGCGTTTAATGGCATATCCTCTGCACAGGTACTACGAGTGCAGCAAGACATTTTCAAAGCCTTTTCTAAGAGCCTGCCCGTCTGGCTCGACGTTTAACGTAGAGAAGCAGCGCTGCGTAACTGGGAGGGAAGAAAGTCAAAAGGGCTACGGTGAGTGAAAAAAACACGCCAAGGCCAATAAATTACTCCGGCAAAGCTGTAATGCAGAATATTGTGAGGGGGTAGAGAACAGAAATCGCTATGCTTTAACATAAGGTGACTTCCGTTTTCTTGTTCCCTGCATTCTTCTGCATTTCAGCCCTACCGCAATGCTTTATGGTCATAGTTTGTAGGGTTTTGTAATGCTGTACAAATATCTAAGAGTATCATTTTATGCTTTTGAAAGAACACACGTATGCAGTAATTTTTAGGTTAAAGATGGGCGGAGATGTTTTGAGCTGTCTTGACGTATTTACAGATGAGGATTATTACGCGCCTGACCCAAACATACCAGAGTCTGAATATGATCTTCCAGTGACACTAAAAGTCGGTTCGGCCACGTCAGCTTTTCAGGTCGAAGGAGCATGGAATGATTCAGGTACGTAATTACGGAAGAGGGCCCGTAACATAACGCACTTAAGTTTTGCGTTAGTACTGAAAGGTAACGAATGCAAAATGAAACTAAAAGTTAAATTGACGCTTACCCTAGATGAAATCCTGGCTGACGTTAGTCAAACCTCAACTGAACTTAACAAAAAGTCTAACTGAAGTGAACTGCCAATAGCCGCATTTAACTGAGGATACATCGATTTTTTCGTTTTTTTACTGACCTTATCCGATTTTATTTTAAACTTTGCTGATCTGTTTTCAGCTAAAAATATGCACCTCGCTTCTACCTTAAAGAGAACTGAATCTGGCTGATGATACCGACTGAGTTTAGCTGCGTTTGTGTGTCTTTTAGCTAGATCAGCTGAATCGGACTGAAACGCAACTGAATCCAGCGTAGCTTCTAGATATTTTGCCGCCAGTTCGTTTCAGTTTACTTCAATCCTCCCTGTCCCGACTGAATTAGACTGAATTTTATCAGTGTCTGACGGGCCGGTGAATACATTACTAATTTCAGTAGTACAGCTGTTGTTGTCAGTGTGCCGCTCACATCTGCAATAAAGTGCGAAAGGGCTGATCTTTCTGGTTGGCGGTCTTTACAAACATCAGTAAAACCACAACGTTTAATCAGACGAAAATAAGGACTGAAGAAAGCTGCAGTCTAGCTGATCCACGGTCCGCATGTCTTACAGCAAAATTCAGTTGACTATCAACATGATTCAGTCCCGGATTTTGACTGTTAATTGATCCTCTCTAGCTGATCTTACCTAAAGTGACCTTCAGCTGATCGCAGCTTAAGCCAAGGTGCACAAAAGCCACTGCTCAGTTCGATCTCGTGAAATGGCAGGAAAAAATCAGTCCTCGACTCTAGCTGATATTAACTTAATTTTAACTGAAGGTAGCTGAAAAGTAGTCGCTCCTCCGCTCCGGTAGATGACGACTAAAAATTTGTAACCTCATGTAAGAGCGGGTAAAATCGGGTAATATCAGGTCGATCAGTTAAAAGCGGGTAAAGTCAGTTCCTTCAGTCGGACCTTCAAATTTATCAGTAAACTGCAGCTAGGATTTCATCTAGGGTAGTCAAAAACTTGTTTTTTAATTTATTGTAATAGTTTATTACACCCTCAGAAATAACACTTATGTTTTTCGATGTGTTTCTAGGGGGAGGGGCCGAGGGTAGGTCCTTTTTGTGTGTTGCTCGAAGTAAAGTGGGAAAAGTTGTCCATTGAAGAGGTCCAGAACTTGAGACTTAAACTTGAATGGGTATTGACTGTTTCAGCAGAAGCACCTGATTTCTAGTTTGGCTCCTTGTTTCATCCATTTAACGTTATTACTCATGCACTACCACTTAACTCAAACAGGGCGTCACATCCAGATCATCTTAAGCGGCATGACACAATTAACATTCGATTGAGTGTGACGTTACAGTATTTGAACGTCAATGTTTATTGGTTTGTTTTCCACAGATAAGTCACTCAGCATAATGGATGTTTATTACCATTCCCGACCTTCCTTGGAGAATGGCGACATCGCAGACGACTCATTTCACAAATACATGGACGACGTAGCCGCGCTAGATGAATTACAAGCAAGTATTTTTCTTTTCGTTTAAAAGGGAGATCCACTTCAGCTTATCGCGAGTTAATGCACTTTACTACTTCAATTATTTTGTAGTTAGAGCGCAGTTGAATATTCATGATGAAGCTAGCGATTAGAGTGTACTTTTCGGTAGCTCACGGGTGGGGCGCGTACGCAAACCCACTGGCTGCTATGGGTCGTAACCCTGGCAAATGGTACAGATCTGTTCATGAGACATTACACATTGCGCGAATTCGTTTTTCATATCAGACATGTCTCTTGCAGATGGACTTCTACCGCTTCTCCTTTTCTTGGCCTCGTCTACTTCCGACTGGGGATAAGTCGGCACCGAGCATCAACGGAACTCAGTACTACAAAAACTTGATTAAAGCACTAACAGATAAAGGGATAGAGCCAGTGGTAAGTTTCTGCAGCGAGACCAATATTGCAGTCAATGACATTGACTTGGGTTTCGTTTTTAATGTGTTCACATTCGGAGTGGCAAATACCAGAAAGACAATCTGTACCTGTACCCCACTTTACCCCTTCCTTTCTGATAACGGTCTGTGGAAAATGTGTATCAAAAAAGAAGCTTCAAAAGTGGTAGACAACATGACTGGTTAGTGTACACTTGTAGAAACTATAAGCTATAGTCGGATTCAAGCTGGTGCATCTCGTTGGTAGTTGAGTACCTGGCCAGCCAAAGGTCGAGAGAAGAGAGGCGCGAGGCTGGTGGCCCCTTAGACAAAAGGAGAGGAGGATGAGCCCAAAGCGAAGCCAAATGTATCTCTTTTAATACACTATCATTGAGTGTTAACGACTCAGATTTCAGAGCCCATCCGGATTACTAATACGTAGATTTTGCGAATTGAGACAGGAGATATGCCCTGCGGTGCAGTGGTCCAGCGCGCTGGCTGCGCACCTCGGTTTGTTTGGATCGCGCATTGCTAGGCGACCCGCCGCTGGAGTGGGGGGGGGGGGGGGGGGGGGGGGGGGGGAGCACTGAAAGGGTCTATGTATTGTGCCGTCTTTAGCAGTCTACATCAATAATATGTCTATGGCATGGGTCCAGCACAATGCCTCATACCTGCCGAGCTTGCACAGCGGGGTCCGGCCTGCTAGTTTGCTAGCTCGGACTGCGCGTGGGCGCAAGCCAGGTATGAGACATTTTACAGACCTCAAAAACGCGGTATGGAACCCGCCAGGCTCTCGGTAACGTGTGACCTCTGCGACTCTCCCCCTTCAGGCTCCCTATGGTCAGGGGGGTCATGTCAGGAGTGTTGCTGCAGTTGCTGAGGAGTAGTAGCCAGCAGATTTTTTGGGTGACCTGCCTTCCAGTTTGAATCCAACTGTGTATACATCAAAATTATTTTTCAGGTGACACTTTACCACTGGGATTTGCCTGAAGTACTTCAGGTTGATGGCGGCTGGCTAAATCCGGCAATACAAGACCGGTTTGTTGAATACGCTACCTACTGCTTCGAGACTTTCGGTGACCAAGTACGTGTTTTGTTTAGCTGGTTTTACAAAAGCACATTGAACTACATACTGCTACCCCAAGGGGAATGCACGACGCATCAACAAGGGTGGCTCAGCCGAAGCAGTGCTGCCTCCCACCCCACGTCGTACCCAGCCATCCCCACCATAGCCTGCTCATGTGAACTTGACTTTTGTTATTCCCACTCTTCTCCAAATCTGCTGCCGGAAGTCTACGCTTGTCGGTTCGCAAAACGGACTACGGGGCTGGAAGGAGAATAACATTTGACGCTTTTTGCGTAGTTTTTCTGATTATAAGTCAGTGAATGAAATAAATTAAAATAGATTAAATCGCTGGAGGGTTAGGTTCGCCGATTCAACGGCGCTTCTGCGCGGGCGAGCTCGGCGGTGGTTGACCGTGTGAGTTTGGTTGCATATGTCAAGAAACTCATGCTCGCTTCTCCGCTCCCTCCTGTTTTCAGGTGAAGTCGTGGCTCATGGTTAACGAGCCCCTGACGCAGTGCCTGTATGGGTACGAGTTGGGATACTTAGGGCCAGCGGTGCAGATGCTGGGCACCGGGGGATACCAATGCAATCACAACATGGTGCTTGCACACGCTAAAGCTTATCGCGTGTACCAAGAGAGGTTCAAGTATCAGGGTGGTAAGTGAGACATGTGAGACATAACATATGTGGATGAATGTTCCACACTATTAAAACTTCTGTTTTCTGATGAGCGAGAGGAAAGGACCAGCTAAAAAGAAGGTTTTCCGGTGATACAGTCAGATTTCAAAGGCGCTTTAAGGAGTAGTTGTTTGCACCCCTAGGCAAGGATTGGCACTGGTTTTAGCTGCCCGTAGGGAGTTTGGAGGTCATTTCGCGCGAATTTCATCAAAAATTTCCCAACTTCATCCCTTTTTTGCCATCTTTGCATGCACATACTTCCGGGACCGTTTCAGCTACAGCGCCCAAGTATAATCTCATTACCCTATGGATGTGCTATCCGTATGTTATGGAGAATTTTGGGCTAACGTATTATGCATCACAAATTATCCATAATATGGATAAAATTGTCCGCATTACAATTTGATCCTTATTACAGACATGCCCTTCTCCGTAAGGTAAAGACCTTTCGTCCATACCTTACAGAAGAAAGCATGTCTGTAATATGGATCAAATTGTCGGTGGTACGGACAATTTTATCCATATTATGGATAATTTGTGATCCATAATACGTTATCACAAAATTCTCCGTAAGCGTTTTCATAAGGAAATGAGAGTGTAATTTTCTTTCAGTTAGTACTTTCCATGAAAAATATTTGAACCAAATTAATGGGGGTTACCAAAAGGGGTCTAGGATCGCAACCTCCTCTCGGGACCCGTTTTGGCGGCCCTAATCGATTTCGTTCAAACTTTCTGCTAGTACAGAACGTGCTAAATTATGATTTCGCTCAAAATCTGGGCGGTGTAGCTCAAACGGTTCTTGAGAAATGTGCATGTAAAGTTGATAATCAGGCTATAAATTTGGTGGATTTTCAATTAAATTCGCGTAAAACGACTTTCAAACTCCCTACGGCCAGCTAAAACCAATGCAAAACCTTATATAGGGGTGAAAACAACAACACTTTAAAAGCGCCATTGAAATCTGATTGTATCACCGGAAAACCTTCCCTTGTAAGCAGTGCTTAGCAGTGCTTACCATGGCTCCCGGAGTAGCTATAAAGAGAGTAAGCGTCACGTCACATATGCCATGTTGCAGGCAAGATCAGCTCGGCCATCAACATGGCTTTCGCCCAGCCGAAGACAGCGTCGAAGGCAGATGTGGACGCGGCCCAGCGCTACATGGAGTGGCAATATGCTTGGTACGCTGATCCTTTCTTCTTCGGGGACTACCCGGCCTCAATGCGGCAGACGATAGATGCACTGAGCTCTGCAGAGAACAGAAGTGACTCTCGTCTCCCGCGCTTCACGGCAGAAGAGAAGAAAATTGTCATGGGTACTTTCACTTTCTCAGATTGAAAACTGCTGGTTGGGTTAGAGAGAAGCTCAAACGCCGAGGCACATTTCCTGCATTATTTATCGTACACACATTCCAGGTGCAATGGACTATCTCGGAGTGAACAACTACGGTGCTATCGTGGCATCAGCAAGCACTGCAACAAGGTCGGGCACGCCTAACTACTCATCGGACTTGCTCGTAAACACTGAAAATGGAAAAGACTGGACCATAAGCGGGTCTCCGAGATTCCCAGTGAGTACACTAAAATAACAAAATTTCTGAAAAAATTAAATTAAAAAAACATCTCCCGCGGAATCCAAAACCGTGTCAATAGGGTACCCCGCTCCGGGCGCGCAGTGGCTGAAGAAGGCAAGAAGCACAAAAGCGAGGAATGTGGGCGCCGCCGCAACGCGCGCCCCCACTCCCCGCTACGGGCTCCCCCACTCCGTGCTTTTGTGCTTCTTGCCTCCTTCTTCAGCAGCCGCGCGCCCGGAGCGGGGTACCCTATTAGGCAGATTGCCAGACACAGGGGTTGATGGTATTCTGAAATAACCACCAACGTATATTTAGTTTAGGTCATACTGTAAATAAATTTCATTTTTTGTTGCCTTAGGTGACTCCTTGGAGTTTGGCTGGATGCGTCAAATGGGTGAAAGACCGCTACAACAACTTTCCTATGTGGGTCACTGAAAACGGGTATTGTGGAACAAAGGATGACGGACTGAATGATTCCAAACGCATTGGCTACTACAGCGTAAGTAGCAACAGGTGCTGGTAGAAGATGGTGTGAATATTTAACTGTTTATTGATTTTGACACCTCTTATACTTTCGAGCATGACTTAGAAGAAAAAAGTTATTTCCCCCTCCAGTGTTAGTTTATTCTCGAATAACTACCTGCTTCTCTTTCCAACCAGTATTTAGTTGTTGCAACCAACATTTTAATTTTGTCGTCGCGGGAACGAGGCTGTTGCTGGAAGAGCGAAACCTTACTTTGTGTCGGCATTGTCCACAGGAAGAACACGTTTTGTTTTCCCAACAACAACCTCGTTCCCTCGACCAAAACGTTTCTCTCTCGAACAAGAACCAGTTAGTTATCCGGATATCAACAGAACACTTCGTTAGCAGAACTTACTCTGTTGCCGTGCAGTAGAGAGGGCCCTGGCGTGTGCAGTAAACGTGCAAAGGTGCTCACCCAAATGTCACTGGATGTTCTATTTCAGGGTTATATGCGGGGTCTAATGCGAGCTATTAACAAGGACGGAGCAAATATCATCGGGTACACTGCTTGGAGTCTCCTAGATAACCTTGAGTGGAACGACGGATTCAGGTATGTAAAGCCAGTTCCGGTGTGAGGAAACAAACCACGTGCTCCCCTTCCATTTTTAAACCATTTCCTTGCAATATTTGGCACCATCATGGCTACCACTTCGTTTCTAATATAAATGTTACACTATCTCTAAACCCCACCCTCAGTACCTGACTATCACCGGCAAAAAGCTCAAATACGGTCACGTGATCTTTCATTCTATTAAAATTTAAAAGCATCGATTTTAACGAATTTTTTCCTCCGCAGCTTGAAGTTCGGCCTCGTCCATGTCGACTTCGAGGACCCTGAACGTCCACGGACAATTAAAGACTCTGGCCGCTTTATCAAGCAGATTATTACAAACCGTAACGTCCCATACGTCAAAGTGACTTAATACGTCATTGGATAATATTTGTACATATAACAATCAATAACGATCTCATCTGAATGCTAAACAGTGCAACGAGTGGATTGACTCTTTGCCAGCTGTGATATTTCGACAGATTCGCCTTTATGTGATAAGGTTTATGACAGCTTCGTAAAAAGCAATGTTAATAAACAGAAGTTTCACGAATAAGACCATTGTATATGACTAGCTATATGTAAACCAGACCACGCCTCGCGTAACAGGTTTCGCGATATCTCACGAACCACTGTTACGCTGGGACGCGCCTGGCGCAGCTAGGCCTGACTCCCTGACCCGCTAACACCCGAGACAAGTAAACAGGAGTGTACAGTATACGGAAATAGTGCCTTTCGGCCCCCAAATTTGCCATGCTAACATCATTTGTGGGGGACGTATTAGTCTAAAATAAGGTAAATGAAACTGCTGATATTCGATTAAGATATTCATTAAAAGTTCAGACTTTGACATATTGTTATGGAAAAGTCAAGGTTTTAGTGATACTGAACCTACAGAAAACTGAACCTCAAACAGAGGTAACCAATCAGGATTTTGATGATGAAGAAGACCAAGGCTTTGGCCTTTTTGACTGAAAAGGACAAGGATCCAGCTAAACTTCCTAGGGTTCTAGTCATCAACTTCAGATCAATCAGAAATAAAATTAATCTATTTAAAGAAATTAGTGCTAAGGAAGACCCCCAAATAATAATTATAACAGAACACTGGCTAAATGACAAAGAAATCAACCTCATCAACTTTCCTAACTTCAAGAAGATATCCTACCACTGTAGATCTGTGCAAAGAGGTGGGGGAGTTCTAATTCTTGTAGAAATCAATCAAATAAAATTGTTTGAAGAATTATCAGAAATTAAGGAAATTAATAACCTTTCAGAAGATCTAGTATGTGAAATGACAGCAATCAAGATCAAAATCAAATCGCAACATCTGTTCCTAATAGCAATGTACAGATCTCCATCTGCATCAACGGCCGCTAACTGGGACTCATTTACTAAAAAACTGTATGAAGCTATTCTACTGTCAGACCCATTTCATAATGAGATTTTCATCATGGGAGACTTCAACATCAACATACTTGACAGATCAAACAGAACCAGAGAATTCCTAGACTTACTAGAATCAGCAAGTATAGCTCCTTTGTTTAATCAAGCTACAAGGAAAAATCTCATCTCTGGCAACGATTCTACAATTGATAATATTTTCACAAACTGTAAACGTTTGCTTAATCCCAAAATTCTTACTAATTATAAACTACTAGATCATAATATCTTATCTGTCCAAATCAATTGTGAACTCAAGAAACAATCTGTTAGATATAAATTAAGTAGGAAAATCAATGATCAAACAATGTTTCAACTTGTAAATGTACTGTCCACTGAGAACTGGTCTGAGTTACTAAACACTCAAGATCCAAATGAGGCATACAATAGTTTCATTAACACATTTATGTATTACTATAACTTAATCTGTCCTGTAACTAGATCTAGAATTAACTACAAACCTAAAAAAGAAGTTACTTACTCAGTGGACATCAACTATTATCAAAATATTATCTGCTTTCTTGAAATGAAACTTAATGATTCAAATGATAAAAATGAGACCTTAAAGCTAATCAAACTTTATCGTTCTAAACTAAAACTGGCATATGATATGGAAAGAAAAAAACTTAATGAAGCAAAGATTCTAAACTCTGGTAATATCAGTAAAACTACCTGGAATATTATAAACTCAAATAAATCAGAGCAAGCGGGCTCTGATAGCATCTCACTTGAAGTACAGGGGAAACCCTGCACTAATAACAAGGAGATAGCAAATGCTTTCAATACATTCTTCTTAAATATTCCATCAAAAATTGCTCAAAAACTCAATAGGGAAAATTTTGACTTAAACAATGTACAAAAAGTCAACAATTCTATTTATATGTACGACTGCACCCCCCTAGAAATAGAGGAGGAATGCATAAAACTCAATAACAAAAAATCTACAGGAATAGATGGAATTTCAAACCATGTTGTAAAAAATGTTAGAAAACTAATATCTGGTCCTTTATCATATGTAATTAACCTATCTATGCAAACAGGTGTCTTTCCTGAACAATTAAAAAAGACCCTAATTAAACCCCTGTATAAAAAGGGTAACAAGCTCAATACTGAAAACTATAGGCCCATTGCATTAATATCCCCTTTTTCAAAAGTATCCGAAAGGATCTATGTAAAAAGAATTATGGGTTTTCTAACAAAAAATAAGGTTATAGATAAAAACCAGTTTGGCTACCAGAAAGGAAAGTCTTGCTCAGATGCAATACTGTATCTAAATGATTATATTATACAATGTAAACAACAAAAACTTCTGGCAATTGCACTGTTCTTAGATCTTAGCAAGGCTTTCGACTGTGTAGACCATAAAATTCTCTTATCCATATTGGAAACATATGGAATAAGAGGTATTGCTCTTGAGCTTGTAGCATCTTATCTCGCAAACCGAGAACAATATGTGGGCATAGACTCGTATAACAAAAATACTGAATTTTCTGAAAAAGGACTGATAAAAGTAGGAGTGCCCCAAGGCAGTGTCTTCGGACCCTATCTTTTCATTATCTATACCAATTGTATCAGATTCATTATTAAGAAAATTCTTTCAGACTTTGTTTTATATGTAGATGATACTACCATCATAATCCCAGGTAATACTATAGATGAAATTGAAAGGAAAGCTACTGAAATTCTGTTTAGAGTAGAGCAATTCTTTGCCTCTCTAGGTCTGGCACTAAACTTGAACAAAACCATATGCATGCTCTTTAATTCTCAAAAAGACAATAGCGTTAACATCTGTGTCAATAATGTCCCAATTCAACAAGTATATGTCACTAAATTTCTAGGTATAAATATCTCATGGGACTTAAAATGGAATGACCATATCCTAGAGATCTGCAAAAATGTCAGAAAAGGAATCTTTATCTTAAAACAATCGCTTCAAAATCTCAACAAAAAATCAAATCTGCTGGTATACCATTCATTTGTTCAATCTTATCTCTCTTTCGGAATCATAATTTGGGGATCTGATACCAAACATAAAAACATCTTGGAAAAGTTATTCAAACTTCAAAAAAGAGCTGTCAGAATGCTGAACGGAATAAGAGACTCCTCGGCATCCTGCAGAGATCTTTTCAAAAATGATAAAATTCTAACATTAACTTCCCTTTACATCTTTTTTGCCTCAGTATTTGTCAGGGAAAAACTAACATCAGAAATCTCTAAACATCCCCATAATACCAGATCTAGGAACTTAGTTAACAGAAATAATAGTCTCAATAATAACACTAAATTTAAACTTATCACCATATATAACAAACTTCCAACATTCATTCTTGAAGCCAAAACCCCCCCAATGTTTAAAAATAGATTAAAATCTTTCTTGATTGAAGGAGTTTTCTACTCTATGGAAGAGTTCTTAAGCTGGAAATCTGAATCATAGGCTGTGGCTTTTTGTAACTCTTGTTTTATTTTATTGTATTGTATCTTATGACTGTATTTTCTTATTGTGATATATGTGTACTATGTATAACTCAACTGAGAAAACGTGAAATATAATAATAATAATAATAATAATAATAGTGGATAATCTAGGGCACCTAAGGCACCAAAGGATGGTGTAGTTTGACGCCAAATGTGTTTAGAGTACTATCCCTTTACAATATTTCGATATGAAGCCTTTTCTACGATTTAATACACTATTTGGCCATTTTCACCTTATTTTCGCCAAGAATTCACTGATATACAAAGTGTGCAACTGACACACACTTTAAAGTGTTTAACACCGTGTGGCGTACTTCTGTGTGTGCAACACGAGTTTTGAATAGTTGGAAGTGTTCAACAGGTGTGTTGCACACTTTTAAGTGTTCAACTTAGCGTTGAGCTTTAGTGCTCGACGGTCAGGTTGAACATTTAAAAGTGTGCAACACACCTGTTAAACACTTCCTACTATTCAAAACTCGTGTTCCACACATAGAAGTGTGCCACAAGGTGTTAAACACTTTAAAGTGTGTGTCAGTTGCACACTTTATATATCATTTAAATGATCTCTGGTACCTAAACGGTACACGATCACGATACTGTAGAGCAAAACGAACGTAATTTTTGTCCGAAGAGTTAGTTCTACTTTTACAAGTTACCCTGTACAAAACCATAAAAAAAATCGGTCAAAAATCCCTTTTGCGACCTGTGACTTTTGATTTTATAAAAAGTCAATTTTTGAGCGAGAATGTTCATTTTCAAACCCGATCTGTCTCTCTCTGATACAAAACGACCTTAAAATTCAGACAGACAGACAAACAGAATTTCAGTCAGTGGAGTAAGGGGCTTCGCTAATCGATCAGCCGATAACTTAACTTTCGTCTGAAATGAAGCCTTGCGTTTGAATAAAATGTTTTTAGTACAACCCCTCCCCCCCTTTTTTCGAAGCCTTCGAAGCCTCCTCGTCAACCTTCAACTGGCGTTTACAAACTGAGCGACCACCGGCGTCAAAGAAATCATACTGCTTGTTTCTTCATGCAGGTGCACGATTACTCAAGAACTAATTGTGCTAATGATCCGAAATACGCAGGGTCACTTAGTACTAGACCAACAACACATATCAATCTGACGACGCTAACGGCCTCCAACAAACCCGGTTACCTCTTCTCGCGTTCAGGTTTTTGTCAACATGGCCCCGAACACTTCAACATTTTAATTTAGCTGCATTTCGGACTGCTTTAGCATAGTAATGCGGTACAAGTACGTACAGTACCAGAGCTAAGGCGAGTGTACAAGGCAAGGCAGGCAACACCGGCACCCGGCACCCACATTGGATGGTCACTCGCAGCCTCCTCGGGGTCCCTCTGCTGGACGGCCAAGAGAGGCAGTGGAGATGGCTGGACTTACTCTCAGACCTGTACTGATTTATTTATTAGAAGCTTGAAAATGTTTTCATGCAGCAGGATTAATGAATAATTTGTTACTTATTCTGAATATCTTTGTTATTAGTAGCTTATAACGGTTTTTATGCAGCAGGATTACTGAATAATTTGTTACTTATTCTGTATATCGTTGTAGATAGCTCACTGATAAAAAAAATGTTAGAGTAATTCAAAAAGAAATTATTTCGTATTACTGATGAAAGTAGTTGTCAGTAGCTTATAAAGGTTTTTAAGCAGAAGGAATACTGACAAAAGTTGGGGAGAAAAAATCAGTAACAGGATGAGCCCAGTGAGAAATGAGATATCATTTCGATGTCATTTCGATGTTCCCAGCGCCGAAAACCATCGCTCTTTAAAAGAAACCACCCCAGTCCGAAATGAATGTTTAAGCGATATTGAAACGACCTTGTTATGATGTCGTCAGACAGTCCACTCCTCGCGAAATAGCGGAGTCGTCCGTGAAGTCCTCGTGAGTTCGCAGATTGTCCCACGGGGTCCTTGCGGTTTTGCGGGGGTAGTTCTGCTTACCATCGCGGCTCGCCGGTTGGGCCGCGGTGTCCTCGCGGTCCTGCGGGAGTGACTCGCATGGTCGGGGGGTTGACACGAGAGTTCACGGGGGTGATTCGCGAGGTCGCGGGGCGGTGAGTCGCGAGATTGAGAATTATTCGCGAAGTCCCTAGCGTCAAGGTAGGGCACGGTTGTGGTCCTCGCGGAACCTTCCTGTCCGTCGCGGGGCCACCGCGGGGCACTTGCGGGCATGTTTTTGTTACTCCTGCTCCTGGGAGCAGAACTGGACGATTTGTATTGGGCTCAATAAACGGCAGTGGTAGATTGTTCCGTTATCATTTCGATATCGTTTCGACATCAACTTCTAAATCCAGCCTCTGCTCATAAATGGCGCGGTATTGATGTGCATGGCATGTGATGCGCATCCGTCCTCAGGCGGACGATTCCGTACGCGGCCGTGTCGCCTCAATGGTTCGCTCGTCGGCCGGCGTGACCACATGGTCCTCAAGAGTACCTATTAGCTGTTGTCTGAGTGGAAATTTGCTAAGGCCTGGAAACTACAGTGTTGACAAAAAAATTCAGGTCCTGATCTATACCTATATCGGAAGTTCCTCCTCGTCCACGAAGAAAAAGCAAAAAGTCGCTCTGGATTTTGACCCGAGCAGACCACATCTATACCCTTTTCTACCCTTTATAAAGCGAATCCTACGAAATACCACATGGCGCAGTCGAAAGTGAGATAAAAACATCAAGTAAATCATCAAATTTTATTTAGATTTTATCTGTCTCATTTCAACAATCATTTAGCCTACCAGCCATGTTTATTTGCTACCAGATTCCGTTGACCAGTTGTCTCGAAACTTTTAAACTAGCGCCGTGGCTGGCAATGTAAAGGTTTGCCAGGATGCCTTCATGGCTTTGGAATGATTTTTCCGATAAATCCGACGCAAGATATCCAGTCACTGGCCGGTGGTCCTGAAGAGAACTCAGCGCGATACGTACCGTAGGGCATCACAGGGAAATTTACGTACCTCCAGGTCATGTTGACGACGATATTATGCGTTCCCTGGAAGACAAAAGAAAACATGCTCACTGGTAGTGACTAGTGCATATACTGTTCCCGTCACCCAGACCTTATTCGAATAACTTTTGGTAAGCTAAGTTGTGGCTTGGTAGGTAGGTCCGCTCTCCCACTTCTTAAACGAACCCGTTAGGGTGGTTTTTACCAGACCGTGGGGCAGGAGGGTGTCGGGGCAGGATTGTTCAGAACCATTGCATTTTCGAGCCGCGTGCCCCTAAACGACGACGTTTTAACTAGTTTTAACACTGCAGCCGCAGAGGAGAACAAGCAGGCCTGGCCTACCGCCAAACTGATTTGCCAGCTCCGCTTCGCTGCGCCAGCAACTCCGTTCAGCAGGGACCGGGCGTGCTTGGCCTGCCGGCGGCGATGGTCTGGCCTGCCGCCCGACCATTTCAATCACTCGATATAATAAAGAACATAATGAAAGAATGTAGCCGGCCGCACGTCACACTGTGTGAGGTAATTGTAAAGATCCGGGTAGTCGGGCCGAGAGCGAGGACGGGATCTCTATTGGGAGTGAGTCAGGGAGTAACAGGGGGAGCAGCACGTGTATTCCAGGCAAGGGTTAACGCAGGAGTGAGCACGTGAGCGATCAACAAGGGGCGGTCGTCAAGAGGAAAACAGGGACAGTGGCGGGGACCGCGACAGTGGGTACGGAGAGTATCGGCGCGGCCGAGGGGTAGCCACAATTCCCTACAGTATCCACTCACCGGCTCAGCTACGGACAATTTGGCTATGCCTCGGTTAGTACCCACGTTATAATTTTATTTACACTACGCTCTGCAGGCAACTCCATTCGGCGGGGGCCGGGTCTAACTTGGCCTGCCGGCGGCATTTGGTCACTGTAAGTCACTTTGAATGTATGAGTAAACTAAGGCTTCCGGCGAAGGGGCCTGCGGCCTAGAGATTTGCTCCTTAGACATGAGAAAAGAATGTAACAGGGCAACACCGTGACTACACCCCACCCTTCTGCTTTGCTAAAGAACCAAAAAATAAAAAAATAAAATAAAAAATGAGCAAGTGCAGTTTTTAGCTTGTATTGTCAAACAGCCGTTTGCCTTTGTTTTAACTATATCCACCTCCATCTTCAAAACGGTTAAAGATACGGCGAATCCAACGCCAATCCCCGATTCAGGATGTGCTGTTTTTTAGTGTGTGTGCGTGTGTGTTTTTTGTTGTTTTTTTTTTGGGGGGGGGGGGTACTTTATGACTTTTTACGATTGGGCGCCTCCTTGTACGTCTTTATGTGCAACGTGGTCATTTTTATAGTATTTTCGTTGAATAAAACACTTTACACTGTAAAAGCCAAAGGGTACAATTTTCTTGACATCTGACAGAGGTGCTCATGTCAAAAAATCAAAATTTTCAGTAGAGACATTTTTATGTTTCATGAAGTAAATGTTGTTCATATTCTGGAAGTAAAACTGTATAGTGGATGCCTAATTTTTGCTTTAGTTACCACATTTTTTATTTTTTTTTAGACCCAACAGATAAGAAATAACATGACTTGCGCTTGTTTGCACCAACAATTTATCTGACACAATAAGCGCAAGTCTTGACATGCGCACCTTTGCACCGAATTCCCTGAGACATGCGCACCTTTTGTCAGATGACAAAGGACATGTGCTCTTATGTCAGATTCCTTTGACATGCGCATGTTTGCCAGATATCTCTTTCAGGTGACCTGCGCTCATATATCAGATGCTAACGGCCAACATGATCACATTCTTGCTATGTATCCGAGACGTTTACAGAATAAGTGTGGGTTCAGAGTTCACGAAACGCAAGCGTTATTATCACGCCAGGCGTGATTTTCACGCTTCGTAAGCTTCACGCAGCCAATCAGGGATCGACGCCGGGCGTGAAAATCTCGCTTTGCGTGAGAATCACGCTCGCTTTTAGGGAACTCTGAATCCACCTTAAGTTGTAGCATAATTTTATACTCCCTGGAGACATACCCTTAAGTTGATATTTATTTGTTAGTATATTATAATTTGTCAACATTCTGTTTACAAAATATCATATCTGACAAATTCAGTGAAAAGAATAGAACTCACCATTGTGCACCCTGTCTAATAATCATTGATGCACCATTTCTTCAAGACACCAAGGTGTAGCATTGGAGAAAAGGTAACCTCCCCACAAACCGATTAGGTACATTGTTAACATCATTATTCTGGGGCCACAGAAAACAACCATAACAATGTTCCACTCTCGGTTCGGTACACTGTAGAATACGGGTTTTACTAATTTCACTAATTTCTTGAGATTCTAAATTTCTCAAATCAAAATAAAACATTCAACAAAGAACAGTTCTTTTGTAAACAGAGTGAACAGAGTAGTAAACTACGAGTAGTACACATTTGAATGTTAATTTATTAAGCAAAGGGTTGATGGCAAACATTAAAAATGGTTTAAGGAATCTGTTATGTGTGCGCATGTCCGACGTAGGTCACAAGCGCGAAAAAGCACAGGCGCAACGGGTCACAAGCGCGACGGTTCACAAGCGCGACAGCTCGCAGGCGCGACAGGCCACAAGCGCGATAGGTCGCAGGCGCGACAGGCCACAAGCGCGACAGGTCTCAGGCGCGACGGGCCACAAGCGCGACGGCGCAATCCGAGTGTTAGGCGGAACCGACTATGGACTGGACCTCGAGCGAGAGCGAGTCATCGATGCCACCGTGTATGAGAAATGAACCGCCTCGTCGAGGGCAGTCTCTCCGACTCCTGTATTTATTCTATGTTTCGCCCTTTATCATTACCCTTTATTCCTATGATTTGTGTTATAACTATAAAGAAACTATCATGATGTTTGCTGCTGGTTTCAGTGGGGACCGTAATACTTTCGTGGTGAGTTGTCGAGTTTCGTCATCGTCTAACGTGAAACCCAGTTGCGGATTCTTGTTAGAAACCTCTGCAACATTTACTGACGCGTTGCAAACGATTCGGTGATCAGTGGCAATGTTGAAAGGAGCGGAGATTAACATTTCTCCTTGCTTTGATGTAAATGTGTGCGGCACTGCGCCGAACGAGCTAACCCCAGCGAAGTAAGTGCTACTATCGGGCACTATTCGCTGCTGTGTCGTGTTTACCATCTACTTGTTGTGATTTGTATCGGCTGGTGTGTGTATTCGTATTT